AAAACTGGTATCTGCACTTTTCTTCCGAAAAGCAACTTTCATCATTCTTAATCAATTATTATGATTATTAGAGCCTCATAATAATTATTAGGGTCAATTATGGAATCATTTCCTATTTTCTCATAATTAATTAATTAAATTCCTTAATTAACGGTGCGAGTTCTTACATATCCCAAACTGAGCAGTCTCACACCTGCACAGTCTTTGGATTCCCTCTCTTTCGGGTGTCGATTTGATTCATTCATGCATGTAACCCCCCATTGGAAGCCTGTTAGGAGCCGCTCCTTGTCCATGCCCTTTCGCACCGACGATCACTCCCCGCCCTCGTCAGCGCTTGGGATGTTACATTCCCACCAGCTTTCGTCTGGTTCGTCCTCGAACCACACCGTACTGGAAGAGAGGCCCTGCTTTGATACCACTTGTAACGCCCGGCCGCTTCAAGAATCAATGACTATCCCCACATACTAACACGAGACTTTTTAGTGTGCTTTTTCCTCACTTTCACATTTCCCGGGAAAACTTCCCAAGAGGTCACCTATCCCAGAATTTGCTCCAAGTCAAGCACGCTTAACTGTGGAGTTCTTCCGATCCGGGCTACCGAAAAGCAGATGCATCTTGTTAGTATAGGTAGTACCAATTAATTCTTATAAGCTATCCCAAACTGAGCAGTCTCACACCTGCACAATCTTTGGATTCCCTCTCTTTCGGGTGTTAATTCGATTCATTCATGCATGTAACCCCCCCGTTGGAAGCTTGTCAGGAGCCGCTCCTTGTCCATGCCCTTTCGCACCGGCGATCACTTCCCGCCCTCGTCAGCGCTTGGGATGTTACAGCTGCCACCACTGCCACTGCCACCATTCCTATATCTCTTTTGTGACCAACGCCCAACCACATAGCCACCCTACCCACACCTACGACCACCCACAACCGCCCCACAACACCCACATGCACCCTTAATCTCCCTAGCCCCACACCACCAATCACCACCATTTTTTTTGCACTGGTAAGGTGTAAGAACCCGCACTGTTAATTAAAGAAGTTAATCAATTAATTATGTGAAATTAGGAAATAATTCCATAATTGACCCTAATAATTATGATAAGGCTTAATTAATTATGGTAAGTAATTAATAACGCTGAAAGTCACTTTTCGGACGAAAAGTGCAGATACCGGTTCTGCTACTCAGTATAAATGCGTACTGATGAAGTATCCCAGAAAACTATGAAAAGTGTGTATATGTCACTAGAATAATATATAGGACTTGTAAAACAAGTTTCAAGTTAAAATAATGAGAACTGGTGCCAGGAATGATACTGGCTATGGAAAAGCGCGTACCAGAAAGGTGCTGCGAAAAATAAAATAAAAATATGAAAAATCTTAGAAAAATGAGTAGGTTCAGAATCCTAAGTTTGGGGTTAAAATGCTAAGCGTAGCAATAACGCTATTACAGTGCGATTAAGACTTAAGTGGCTATATATAAGAGTGACACATGATCCTAAGTCTAACATTTGCACCTCTACGTAGCATTTGCTGGAGCCTTTGTAGTCAGCCACCCCTTGCCACCTTCCTCTCCTTCCTTATGAGCCAAGAGGCCATCTTTCCTCTTGGTTTCTTCACCAAACCTCCTAGTGTGAGTGTGCTTGGGCCTTGGGAGAGTGAAAGATGCTTCTTTTTTGAGTTTAGTTTCTATGTTGGTAGTCTTTGGGGGCTGAGTTCTTGTGTTGAGTTGTGGGGGTTATCTTCTTAGCTTGTGGAGCTCCAAGAAGCTTCCTTTGTAAAGAAAGGACCCATCTTTGTGTGCCATTTTCGTGCACCTTGTGAAGTCAGACTTGAGGAGCTGTTGGTGAGCTCCAAGAGCACCTCCTTGTTCTGTTTTGAGCTTGGGTAAGCTTCACCACCTTTGATCATGAGTTTTAATGGGTTAAAGCTTGAGTCTTGGCATGTAACATGTTAAAATGAAGTAACCAACATAAACATGAATCTGTAAGTCTGTAAAAATGCATGCTTGGGCGTTGGAATGGGTTAAAAACCCAACCTTTGTAGTGATATCTCGCGAAATGCGGAATCTGCATTCTGTCGCAAAATATCCGGATATGATATCCGGATACTGATAATATCCGGATATGATATCCGGATATTGATATCCGGATATGGGGTCTCTGATATTCGGATATGCATATCCGAATATGGGATATCCGGATATGTCCCCGACATATATCCGGATATTCTGGGTTCTCGAAGAACAGTAGCTGCACTGTTCATACAGAAGGCTGTTTTGGGTTTGTGAACCCTAGATTGATGAAGTGGGACTTCTGTAATAATTAAACTAAGTCAGAATCAAGTGATTAAGGGCTTGTGGCTTTGTGAAAAGCCTAAAGACATGAAACGTAAGGAAAGGCGTTGTCTTTATGTCGTTTGCTTGTAGAGTTTGAATATTAATGTTATTCTGGTCCAAAACAAATTGTGATTCTGCTATGTTTGAGCTTTGAGCTTGGTTGGACTCTTGGCTTGGATTGTTAGCTTGCAAAGTAAGCTTTCATGTCCTCGGTTTAGCCATTGTGTGGTTCCACCATACCCCATGGGGGAATGGTTTATATGCATGATGTGTTTCCATGCTTTGATAATTGAAATTGTTATTGAGCTTTATGTGCAATTGCTTATAATATGTATGTGTTGTTCCACTTAGACGGTTAGCCTGAGTATGTAGCGTTATACAAGATTGTGACACTGTGGGTGGGTGCAAGTGGCTTCTTGCACTAGTGTGGGTAATAGACGCATTCCTGCGTTTCTCTGGCCAGTAGATTAGTTATAACACACATGACATGATTATCTGCTGCATTGCGCTATTTTGGAACTTATACTGTTTAACTATTTTTGGAACTTATATTGCAAAATAAGTGAGCTTGGGGTGGAAGATCCTTGAGGACCCATTGTCTTACTGAGATTTCTGTTTAGAGATCTCACCCCACGTTTGGGGCGCTTATTTCAGGTTCAGGTAACCCAGGGGTTGAGACCTCTAGCGGCAGGAGGCCGGAGCTTAGTTGATTGATGTTTATCTGCTTATGTATGCTGACTATGCTTGGATGCTGGATTATGTCTGTAGCGTTTATGTCATTAGCTTTATGGATTACTGTGTTGAGACTCTGTTGGTTATGTTGTCTATTTGGTGAGTATGGGGTTTGTCCATGCCACATTGACTTGGCTTTATGTTTTTAGTTCAGAGTTGTATTAATGTATCAGGATATTGTCCGGACTACGTGTTGTAGATCCGTGACTTAGATACTCACTTATTTATCTATTGAGGTATTTCAGTTAGCTGTCTTTTGCAATTTACATACAGACGATGTTTTTATGAAATGATTAAGTAATCAACTTGGCTAAGTTGAATGACGTCATAATTGAAAAGAAAAAGATTTTCCGTATATTTATTAAGCGTGGTTTAATACGATGACATATTAACAAACCGGGTATACACAGGGTGTTACATAAGGGAAGGTTCATCAATGATTTTTATATTTTTTTGACACATCTCCTCACACAAAAGTTCTTTGGGCTTGAAGCGTAAAAATTGCACAGATCCATTTTTTCATATTCTTCCTTGTACTGACTTAATTCCACTAAAAAATGGATTGCAGTGAGGATCAAACTCGTGACCTGTGGTCATGTAGGCTCTGATACTATGTAAATAACCATCTTATCTAAGAATTTAAGCTATTAGGTGAAAGCCCCTTTTATATTTCTCTAAAAATATACATATCATTTGAGTTTGATAAATTTCATTAATAGTCGTATAAGTAGGCCAAAATTCAATCAATATTTGTACCCACTCATGATTTTAAAATAATTGCAAAATAGTAAATAGTAACCTAATAAAATGTAATTTATCATGAAACATATCAACAAGTACGTCTCCAATGATGGCATCGGACGAGGGAGTGTATATTAAGGATGTAACTTTACAAAAGAATCCAAGTTACGGGGTGACAAAGAATCCAAAACTGTACATGTTATGGATTAGGGAGGCTATGTGGTTTGGTTGAGGGATTAAATCAAGAGACTTTGTCAATCATTTGCACTAATGGATTAGGGTGGCGACGTAGTTTTGTTGAGTCATTAATTGAAGAGAATTTGTTAATTACAAGAGCAGGTTGGATTTCAATTATAGTAATATGAATTATTGTTTCATTGCTTCCGTTACAGTGATAACCATTGCATTCCTTCATTCAAATTTGATTTGCCAAATCCCATATCCCTTAGATTAAATCAAAATCATGAAAACTTTTATCCTTTTTAATAAAAAATTATGGATTTAATGTTTCTCACACAAACACTAGATATAAAGTGGTTGGAGGTCATTTTTTGTTTAAATTATGTGCTTGCAGTACAAAAATTAAACCCAAAATTAAATAAACCACTCCACTTCTCATTAAACTCCTACTAACGAAGATAGGAATGAAGACAATTTTTATACGCAATTTTACCCTTATATATTTGCAAAAAGAGTCTATTTTATGAACTCAAACCGGTTTAAACCCACAATTAAATAAAAAAAGGAATTAAAAATATGTTTCCCTCTCACAACTAACTAACATCTCTACTTGCAAAATATCTTGGATACTAAGTATGGGAATACTAAAGACTCAATATATCTTTTACTAAAAAAGAAAAATAAATAATACAATTCGTTTTACCTATTGTATCCATCATTGCATCTAAGTCCCACTTTTACCCATCTTTAGTAAAGGAGTAGGTACTATTAAGAGTACCAAATAAAGGATTAAGTGGAAAAGTATTACAAAAGTGATATTATTAAGTGGAAAAGTATTCCAAAAGTGATATTATTAAGTGGAAAAGTTTTCCAAACAACTTCGCTTAATCAACTTAACCAAACCTTGGTCACTCGTTTTTTTCTCTATATATAAGCTTCAATCACCAAGACATTTGCATCATTCGGTCTCATTAATTCATATACAGTCTCATTTTCGTTCTCAAAGCCAAAAATGTCAACCACCATTGAAGTCGAAGAGTCAAGCAAAGTTGCTAAAGGAAAAGCTGCTCTACTTGCAGCCCCAAGACCAGGAGGGTGGAAGAAAGGGATAGCCATAATGGACTTCATTCTAAGGTTAGGTGCTATAGCTGCTGCTCTTGGTGCTGCTGCCACCATGGGAACCAGTGATCAGAAACTCCCTTTCTTCACTCAGTTCTTTCAGTTTGAAGCTAGCTACGATAACTTTTCTGCTTTCCAGTATGTAACTTTCAAAACTCTACTTTCTGTGCCCTTTCCAAAACATTAATCTTTGTATTCCTATTCACAACCCAATGCTTAACAAATTGCAGGTTTTTCGTTATTACAATGGCATTAGTTGGTGGCTACCTTGTCCTATCCCTACCTTTATCTATAGTAGCCATCGTTCGCCCCCGTGCAGTTGGACCAAGGCTTTTCCTTATCATCCTAGATACTGTAAGCTCTCTAACCTTAGAGATATCATATAAAATTACTTATATATTTTCATACAATAGTTTAATTTTTTTGGAGAATTAGTTAATGACATGATATTAGAATCTCAACCATCAAATGATTTAGAGTTCAATCATATATAATTTCCTCCTCGGTCTTCTAATAAAAAAAAATTATATTTGTCTATCACCCTAACATATAGTTAATGGGAGAATGACCAATATAACATCTTTTCTAAAAAAATATTCAATAAAATAATATAGTTTGAAAATTACTTTTCAAGAGCTCTAGGACGGACAAATGTCAAAATAGTACGAGTTTGAATATGCTCGACTCAGAAATAATCTTATATCTCTACGAGTCCCTTTTTCTACCTGGGTCGTCGTAGGGATACTTGGAACACTTGACTTACCTCAAATGAGTAATTAATCTCATGGAAACCAATAAAACAATTACTTACCAAAGTGATATTGCTTGACTACTTTTGACCTTTTTTTTTTTTTTTTTTTGATAACAACTACTTTTGACCTTGGGCACCACATAAATGTGACACGTGTAAGTCTTATGTTTATGAGTATTGTATATAGGGTTCTATTTCTGGATATATTGTTGGAGACAAGTATCTCATATCATAGACACATATTGTGGTAGAGCTCATCATCCATTAAAAAAAATAAAAAATGATGTCACAACTTTTGATGTAAGAAAAGCATGAGATAATTGTCTCATGTAAAATGACACAATGATTTCCCTTGTATATATGAGTCTAGGAATGATATATCGAAGCATCTTATGAGTTCTACAAGAGATGTTACTAGTTGGAAACAGGGTGACACAAATGTAAGTTTTTTAATATTCGCATAATTATCTCATGTTACTATTCGCAGGTATTTCTAACTCTGGCTAGTGCTAGTGCTGCTTCAGCTGCTTCCATAGTTTACTTGGCACACAACGGGGATCAGAGCACAAACTGGTTAGCTATCTGCAACCAATTTGGAAACTTCTGTTCGCAGACAAGTGGAGCAGTGGTGTCATCTTTTGTTGCTGTTGTTGTCCTTGTATTATTGATTGTTATGTCTGCCATAGCTATAGGGAAGCATTGAAAAATAAGATGCTTGGGGGGCTTATATTACTTGTATTATTATTAATTATGCATGTTTATTCTGTTTCCTAAATCTTCCTCGGGTTGTGAGGTTTTCCTTGAAGTCATGATGTGCCAATTTGATTACTTGTATTAATTCGGTCAGATGTTGAAATGGAATATATATTTTATATAATATTTGCCTATGTTATTAATATTTGAACTTTTGAAGTCTTCATTTTCTGCTTTTCTCTTTGCAGCACTTTTCTCAACTTTCTCGCCCATTTTTCACTTGTTCGAGTTTATCAATATTCTTGAGACTTGTGAGGGAGTTAGAATTATAAAAGATGAATAGTACTTTGGTACGCAAGATATAATCACAGTAATGTTATAATTAATGTATGAAGCAGGATACAGATACAATCATAGACACTGGAGACCACCATGTCCAAAATATAGGACATGCACCGGGACACTCTGTGTAACTCAAATGAAATTAAATAAATAAAAAACTAAATTAAAATATGGATTTATATATTCACATTCTTAAAACAACTTGTTAAGCTTTATAAAGCTTTATACTTTCCCTATGATAATGAGCCTAAAAAAATTAGAGTAAATATTTTTTTTGGTCCTCAACAAATTTTACGATATCCGCTTTAGTTCTTAGCAAATAAAAAGGCCCATCGTGGTCCCTAAGAAATTCAAAATGGACTCATTTTAGTCCTTTTGAGGGAGTAATATGAGTTTTTTTTGAATTTGTGAGGGACCACGATTTCAACTAAATGGGTCAATTTTGAATTTCTTAGGGACCACGATGAGCCTTTTTATTTGCTAGGCACTAAAGCGGGTATCGTGAAATTTGCTGAGGACCAAAATGATATTTACTCAAAAAATTACAAACAAGCATCATTATACGTACAATTAAGCAATTTGCGTCTTTGCAAAAAGTTTCCAATGTAGAACTATATCTTTAACCTTTAATCTTCTAGTTTTTTTAGTTATCATTTATATTTGGGAGTGGTTATATTGACAAACTTTTTTTTCTTACAAACTTACAAACTACGCTAAGTCTGACTAGTCAGACTTCAATTAAGAGTGCACTTAATGTAATTTGTAAGAAAAAAAAGGTTGACTTTTTTTGAAGTCATTTTTCATAAAAGGTTTTTTTTTTTAAAAAAAAATCCTTGTTAAGAGCTGTGTGCTTCAATTGTACGTCTAATCATATGTGAGTAGCTGGAGTGTTTCAACCGTGTTTGAGTAGACCAAAAATAATAATTTTTCAACTGGACACTTGATGAGCAATATTGTCGGACACCTTATGATTCAACTAAGTTCATTGCATTGGCGATGGTAATTAGTACTCAACGGTGGAGCGAGGGAATTGTTGGGCTTCCTCCTTCAATGCTAAGTCCAAGCTCATTGAGGAGTTTTTCAAAAATCCTAAACCTTAAACCCTAAATTCCACCTCCTCTATATATTCGTTAGTTGAGGGTGGAGGCTAGGTTAGAAGAGAGAGATTTGATATTTGAGAGAAAATTGTTTGAGATTTGAGAGCAAAGCTTTATGCTTTGTATTTGAGAGATCTCTAGAGAGAGTTTGAGTGAAACATCTCTAAGATAGTTTGATTATCACCATTGTTGGAGAGGTTGAGTTAACCACCACATTGGTGTATTTTGATTCTTTTGTAACCATTATTTTCATAGTAAATTTTTGATCAGGACTAGGTCCCGCGGGTTTTTACTTCTTCATTGGAGAAGGTTCTCCCACGTTAAAATTGCTTGTTCTCTCTCTCTCTCTCTCTCTCTCTCTCTCTCTCTCTCTCCTGTTTTTCATTTTTGATTTTCCGCTGCGCTGTCCGACCTGGTGAAGTTCAGGCCGAGGTATTGCTGAGATCCGAGATCAGGATCTTGTTGATTGACTTCCGCAAAAAGGCCCTTGAGCCTATCTGAGGGAATCAATTTCCCAACAGTGGTATCAGAGCCGGGTTGAGCTCGAGCTATCCTGGTGATTGGCTAGGAGGTGGGTCGAGTACTTTGCGCTTCGCGTACTTGGTTGAGGGGGAGCATACCAATGGTGGGTTTCACACTTAAGGAGGAGATTGTTGGGATATTCAAGTGTGATGAGTCCCACATTGGTTGGTAATGAGCTAAGCGAAGAGTATATAAGTGGAAGAGACCCATAAACCCAATACCTTAAGGTTTTGGGTTGAGACATGGTGTCAGATCCACTTGCTACGGTTGGTATAGCCTTAGCTCATTGGTGGTGGCCCCCGCCACGGGCTTCCCCCTGGACCCGCCTGACATTGGTATCAGAGCCCGAGTTCGACGGGTTCTGAGGGAGACGAGATGGAGACCAGTGGCATAACCCATGATGGAGATATGTTTAAGCTAACCGCAGACAATTTCACCTATTGGAGACCGATGATGGAAGATCATCTTTATTGCAAAGATTTGCATGAGCCCATTATCCTTGATGAGAGACCGACAGGAAAAACCGATAAGGAGTGGGAGATTTAGAGTCGTAAGGCGGTAGCTACAATCAGAAAATATATTGACAAAAGCCTCTTTGAGCACGTGTCCGAGTTCATGAACGCGTATGAGTTATGGACGAAGTTAGAGTCCATGATTCAGAAGAAGACTCCCAGGAACAAAGCACACCTGGTTCGCCGACTTGTGAAGCTGGAATACAAAGACGACATGAGCATGATTGAACACCTCAACACCTACAAATGTATTGTGAATCAGCTGTCAAAGGCTGAGATGAAAATTGATGACGAGATGCAGGCTTTGCTGTTGTTGAGCTCGCTGCCAGAAAACTGGGATACTTTGGTGGTGACCTTGAATAGTTCAACCCCAGATGGAAAATTGAAGATGAATGTTGTGACAGACAGCCTCCTAGGCGAAGAAGCCAGGAGAAGAGAATGAGGTATTTCGAGCACGTCTGAGGCCAACGTTGCTGAGAACAGAGGTAAATTCGACTCCCGAGGTAAAAGAAAAAGCTGGGGTCGAGATCCCGATAGAAGAGGAAAGTCCAGAGGTCGGTCAAAGCTGAGATATGAGTTGAAGTGCTTTTACTGTGGAAAGACAGGTCATAAGAAGCCAGACTGCTGGACCCTGCAGAATGGCGAGAAGAACGGCTCTGTGAAGCCGGATCAGATTATTCCCAAGAAGAGGGAAGACAAGAGCACCACTGCGGTGGTTGTAAATCCTGATGCCGAGATATTCCTCCTTGGTGAGGATAATTATTTGAATGTTGCATATGATGACTGTACTTGGATTGTTGACTTCGGTGCCTCCTTTCATGTTACTCCACACAAAGGTTTTTTCTTCTCTTACCGAGGTGGTGATTTTGGAGTCGTGAAGATGGGAAATCAAGTGACTAGCAAGATTGTTGGTGTCGGTGATGTGACCCTGACCACAGATGTCAGATGCCGACTTGTGTTGAAAGATGTGAGGCATGTACCTGACATGCGTTTGAACCTAATCTCGGTAGGTAAACTTGATGATGCCGGGTTAGTGAACTACTTTGGTAGTGTTAGATGGAAGCTGGCCAAGGGAAACTTGGTCGTGACCCGAGGTAAAAAGGAAGGCTCCTTGTATGTGATGCAAGGAAAGATCAATGGCGGAGAAGCCAATTCTATCCGAGATGGACCTAGCTTAGAGCTATGGCACAAACGCCTCGGCCACATGAGCGAGAAAGGGCTTCAGATCCTGAACAAGAAAGGATTACTGACCGGGTTAAAAGGTCAGGCGTTGGAGAGTTGCACGCACTGCCTAGATGGAAAGCAGCACCGGGTTTCTTTTGTGAGACCGGATCAGCCCAGACGACGCAAGTATATTCTTGACCTCATCCATACTGATGTATGCTCCATGTCAGAAAGATCCCTTGGAGGAGCTCAGTATTTTGTTTCATTTATTGATGACCATTCCCGTAAAGTGTGGGTATATTTGTTGAAGTCTAAAGACCAGGTACTTCAATCCTTTAAAGAATTCCATGCAATGGTTGAAAGGAAGACTGGCAAGAAATTGAAGGTGGTCTGATCTGATAATGGTGGTGAGTATTGCGGCCCATTTGATGCATATTGCAGAGCGGCTGGAATCCGACTTGAGAAGACGCCCCCCAAGACTCCACAGTTGAATGAACTTGCAGAGAGGATGAACCGAACTATTGAAGAGAAGGTACAAAGCATGATATCCAATGCCGGATTACCGAAATCATTCTGGGGAGAAGTCGTCAGAACTGCTGTTGACTCGATCAACCTCTCACCATCACGACCACTTGAAGGAGAAATTCTAGAAGAAGTCTGGACAGGTCAGAAAGCGGCCTAGAATCAATTGAAAGTGTTTGGATGCCGATCTTTCGTGCATATCCCTAAAGATGAAAAGGCAAAACTTGATGCGAAGACCAAATAATGCATTTATCTTGGTTCGTCGAGATGTGAGTTCAGGTTCCGACTTTGGGATCCAATCAATAAGAAGATAGTAAGAAATCGAGATGTGATCTTTCATGAAGATGAGAACATTCATGACATCTCGAAGCCCAAAGTCCGGGTGATAAATGTAAGAACCCGCACCGTTAATTAAGGTATTTAATTAATTAATTATGCAAAATTAGGAAATGATTCAATAATTGACCCTAATAATTATTAAGAGGCTTTAATAATTATGGTAAGTGATTAAGAATGTTGAAAGTCGCTTTTCGGAAGAAAAGTGCAGATACCGGTTCTGCTAGTCGGTATAATTGCGTACCGAAAAAGTATCCCGAAAAATTAAAGTAAGTGCATGATAATTACTAGAATAATATGTAGGACTTGTAAAACGAGTTTCAAGTCCAAATAATGAGAACTGGTGCTAGAAACCGGTACTGGCTTTGAAAAGCGCGTACCGGATAGGTGCTCAGAAAAATATAATAAAAATATTTTAATTCTTGGAAAAATGTGTAGTTTCAGAATCCAAAGTTTGGGATTAAAATGCTAAGCGTAGCAATTAAAGTTAATACTGTGTGTTTTATTTTAAAATG